TCCCTGTCCCCATGTCCCCCGGTGTCCCCGCTGTCCCTGTCCCCATGTCCCGGTGTCCCGCAGGCGCTGTCCCCATGTCCCCATGTCCCCATGTCCCGGTGTCCCGCAGGCGCTGTCGCGGGGCCGGCGCTGGCCCCTGGCGGTGACGGTGCTGACGGCGGCCCTGGGGGTGCTGCTGGGCTCGCTGGACCTGCTGGCCCCGGTGCTCTCCGTGTGCGTGACCCCTCCCCCGCCCCGCCCCGGCACGGTGACGTCAGCCGCGCCGTGACGTCACACACCCCCCTTCAGGTTGTGCCTGACGTCATACCTGGGGCTGAACCTGGCGTGCGCCCTGCAGGGGCTGCTGCCCACGGCCGGCTGGAGCCCGCGCTGCCCGCTCTACCACTGGTCAGTGAGTGACCCCGAGTGACCCTGAGTGACCACTGAGTGACCCCGAGTGACCCTGAGTGACCACTGAGTGACCCCGAGTGACCCTGAGTGACCACTGAGTGACCCCGAGTGACCCTGAGTGACCACTGAGTGACCCCGAGTGACCCTGAGTGACCACTGAGTGACCCCGAGTGACCCTGAGTGACCACTGAGTGACCCCGAGTGACCCTGAGTGACCACTGAGTGACCCCGAGTGACCCTGAGTGACCACTGAGTGACCCCGAGTGACCCTGAGTGACCACTGAGTGACCCCGAGTGACCCTGAGTGACCACTGAGTGACCCCGAGTGACCCTGAGTGACCACTGAGTGACCCCGAGTGACCCTGAGTGACCACTGAGTGACCCCGAGTGACCCTGAGTGACCACTGAGTGACCCCGAGTGACCCTGAGTGACCACTGAGTGACCCCGAGTGACCCTGAGTGACCACTGAGTGACCCCGAGTGACCCTGAGTGACCACTGAGTGACCCCGAGTGACCCTGAGTGACCACTGAGTGACCCCGAGTGACCCTGAGTGACCACTGAGTGACCCCGAGTGACCCTGAGTGACCACTGAGTGACCCCGAGTGACCCTGAGTGACCACTGAGTGACCCCGAGTGACCCTGAGTGACCACTGAGTGACCCCGAGTGACCCTGAGTGACCACTGAGTGACCCCGAGTGACCCTGAGTGACCACTGAGTGACCCCGAGTGACCCTGAGTGACCACTGAGTGACCCCGAGTGACCCTGAGTGACCACTGAGTGACCCCGAGTGACCCTGAGTGACCACTGAGTGACCCCGAGTGACCCTGAGTGACCACTGAGTGACCCCGAGTGACCCTGAGTGACCACTGAGTGACCCCGAGTGACCCTGAGTGACCACTGAGTGACCCCGAGTGACCCTGAGTGACCACTGAGTGACCCCGAGTGACCCTGAGTGACCACTGAGTGACCCCGAGTGACCCTGAGTGACCACTGAGTGACCCCGAGTGACCCTGAGTGACCACTGAGTGACCCCGAGTGACCCTGAGTGACCACTGAGTGACCCCGAGTGACCCTGAGTGACCACTGAGTGACCCCGAGTGACCCTGAGTGACCACTGAGTGACCCCGAGTGACCCTGAGTGACCACTGAGTGACCCCGAGTGACCCTGAGTGACCACTGAGTGACCCCGAGTGACCCTGAGTGACCACTGAGTGACCCCGAGTGACCCTGAGTGACCACTGAGTGACCCCGAGTGACCCTGAGTGACCACTGAGTGACCCTGAGTGACCACTGAGGGACCCTGAGTGACCACTGAGTGACCACTGAGTGTGTGGCCCTGTGTGAGTGACCAATGAGTGACCAATGAGTGATTGCAGTGTGACCGCTGGCTGTCCCCATGTCCCTGTCCTGTCCCTGTCCCTGTCCTGTCCCTGTCCCTGTCCTGTCCCCCTGTCCCTGTCCCCATGTCCCTGTCCCCAGCCCACGGCAGTGTCCCCGTGTCCCCAGGTCGGTGTCCCTGGCCGGGGCCCTGCTGTGCCTGTCTCTGATGTTTGTCACCTGCTGGCACTGCGCCCTGCTGGCCCTGGGCATCGGCGCCACCGCCTACAAATACCTGGAGTTCCGCAGGTGAGGGACAGGGACACGCCCGGGGACACCTGGGGGGACAGGGACACACCTGGGGGGACAGGGACACACCTGGGGGGACAGGGACACGCCCGGGGACACCTGGGGGGACAGGGACACCCGGGGACACCTGGGGACACCGGGGGGGACAGGGACACGCCTGGGGACACGTGGGGACACACCTTGGGGGACAGGGACACACCTGGGGACAGGGACACATGCCCGGGGGCACCTGGGGGGAACAGGGACACACCGGGGGGTGTGACCCTCACCTGGGGGTGTGTCCCTGACCTGTGGGTGTGACACTCACCTGGGGGGTGTGACACTCACCGGGGGTGTGCCCCTCACCGGGGGGTGTGACACTCACCGGGGGTGTGCCCCTCACCTGGGGCCCCGCCCCTCCCCCCGCAGCGCGCAGAGCGAGTGGGGGGAGGGGCTGCGGGGGCTCTCGCTGAGCGCCGCCCGCCTGGCGCTGCTGCGGCTGGAGGATGGACGGCCCCCGCCCCCCAGCCTCAGGTGAGACCCCCCAAACACCCCGCCCCCAGCCTCAGGTGAGACCCCCCCCAAAAACACCACACACCCCCCTTC